TCATATCTGGGAGTGTTTCTGCCCATTTTATAGATGAGGAAACTGGAGTGTAGAATATTTAAATGTTTTGCTAGTGCTCATAGCCTCATAGCAGTATTGAGCCATGCAGTTTGTAACTACTTTCCTGACAGTTTCTCCTATTAGACTGCCAGTTGCACGTGGACATTGTCTAGAGCCTTCTTATTTATCACTTTTGTCCCCTGTGACTGGCACCTAAGAGGTACGCAGTAAGTATTTGCTGAATGTTGAATGTTGCCTGTTATATTACTCAAACCCAGATGCTAAACGCTCTATTAGTCACCTAATCTTTCACTATCAAATTAAAATATAAGGAAAAACAAATTAATAATCATAGGGCACTTTATTTAATAAATGATACTCAACTTATTAAGGTAAGGATATTGAAGGAGTTGCAAATTCTTTCAAGAGAATTCTTTCTGGAGGCCATGAAAGTAATTGACAGAATACTGCTGCTTTTAAAATCAATTAGTTTAGGGGCACCTGGGTCGCTCAGTCAGTTAAGCATCCAACTTAGACTCAGGTCATGATCTCAGGGTTTGTGAGTTTGAGCCCCATGTTGGGCTCTGTGCTGACAACTCAGAGCCTGGAGCCGACTTCCAATTCTGTATCTTCCTCTCTCTGGCCCTACCCCCCTCCTGCGCATATGCGTGCACACTCTCTCTCTCTCTCAAAAAAAAAAAAAAAAATTAAGCATTAAAAAACATTTTAAATCAATTAGATTAGCATATTGAAATAATACATAAACCTAAGGATCAACTTTTCCGCAGATCTTTCTAGTTCTGAAAAAAACTGAATTTGCAGCACCCACTGAAGTGAGGTAAATTTTATATGTAAGGTACATATTTTTTAATGTTTATTTATTTTTGAGAGACCAAGAGCGAGAGTGAGAGTGAGAGTGAGAGCGAGCATGAGCCTGGGAGGGGCAGAGAAAGAGGGGGACAGAGGATCCAAAGCAGGCTCGGAGCTGACAGCAGAGAGCCAGATGTGGGGCTCCGCCTAAGGAACCGTGAGTTCCAGCCCTGAGCCGAAGTTGCGTGCTTAAGAGACTGAGCCACCAGGTGCCCCTGATACAGAGTTTAGATATCATTTGTTAAACTATGGCTTGATATTTTACAAAATGAGAATAAGCAATGCTCTTCAGACCCAAGTTAACATGATTTGTCATTATGAATTTAAAGTAAAATATTTACTCCTAGATTCTTTGAGCTGTTAGTTTTAAATTAAAAATGTGATCATATATTATATTTTATTATTTATTCATAATTAACAAGGCATTTTGCTGTTAATATTTGTCATATTAAACAGAAGCCTAGAAGATTACATTCAGACAATATCATAAAAGTTTCAAATCATGATATATAGTTCTGATATTTTAATTTTTCCCATTTAAATGTATTTATTTTATACCATGTAATAACAATAGCTAACAGAGTGCTTTCTTTCTTTCTTTCTTTCTTTCTTTCTTTCTTTCTTTCTTTCTTTCTTTCTTTCTTTCTTTCTTTCTTTCTTTCTTTCTTTTTTTTACAGAGTGCTTTCTAAGTGCACTCTGTGTGCCCTACATGGTTTATATAATTTCTTCCCCACCACAGCCAATGGAGGTACTATACCATTCCCCTTATATGGATGAGAACACTGAGGCTTAGAGAGCTAAAGTGACCAACCCACAGTTGTACAGCCAGTAAGGAAGAATGCTACTCTGGGCTCTCTGAGGAATGGGGTAGTGATAAATGTGTTGATGACAATCTATCTTATGCACACAGTTAATGAGTTGTTGAAAATAAGTTTCTCCATAAAATTGCATTATTTGTTTTTACTTCCAGACACAAAATAATACTTAACAGGAAGAAAATTCCCAAATCCATAAACTGTATTAAAATGAAAACAAATCCTCTGTTCAAAAATATAAACACAGTAGACTCCAATCTCACCAACCTATATTAAATATTAATTGTTTCCTTTGCTTTTCTGCAGCTATGTGGGTTTCACAAAGGACAAAAGAAATAATTGCACAGGGATTACATAAAGCCATACATTCTATTTATAAAACTGACTAGACATTGTCAGCATTCACTACCAATGTCTTTGGTAGTATGATGACATTATAGTTGATATTTATCTTTTAATAAAAATATGAATCACTGTTTACTCCCTGAAGCTAACCTCACTCATGCTAAATTATTTATGTATCCATTTTAATATGTATTTTGCATCTGACAGGACAACTCTCCTTAGGACCCCTTTACTGACCCACCTGTCATTATGATGGGGTAAACAATGTCACCTTTCTAGTGCACAATGAATTACAAAGAAGTTGCAAAGTACACCATCCATCATGCTGGCACTAAGTAGGTTTTTGAAGTAGATCTCAGATATCACAAATGCTGTTTAGACTGTTACCAGAAAGCAAAAATTGGAAGCTTAGACAAAACGGTCATATGATGAATGGACATGACAGCTCTTCAAAGAAAAGGGGCACTCCTCTTCTACAAATAACCTTGTCAACAGCAAAAGTAGTGGGGAGCTTTGCTGGCACTCAGACTAGAATAATTTAACAAGTGGTTAATGGCTCAGCCTGATAGAAATTCATGCAAACCCAGTGTACTCAAAATCAAAAAGTGGGTCAGCAGCAGCAACCTCTCAAGCTTGATTTTAATTAGGGAATGGTCTGAAGAGATACAGAAAATCACCCACATCCTATTAATTAGAATATGTGAGTTTCAATAATACACTTGTCTAAAACATATATATAACATATATGCAAATATTCTATATGCATATAAAAGTCACCTAGAAACTGCTTTGCATTTGAAAATCATAATGCTAATATAGTTTGAGTTTTAAAAAAATCAACATCAATAAATTTATTGATATAAATATTTAAATTATTATGTAGTTAGTATAATGGATTTGAATTATTAATATAATTCTAAAAATAGTTATCATTAGTGTCTTCCTTCATCTAATTTGCATGGTTAATTTCTTCAAATACAAGGTGTTTGTTTTATCCATAATTGCATTTCAGTTCCTCTAACACTACTCCCTTTGATTTAGGCCTTATTTCAAATGTAGAGTATATTTCTACATGATAGCTAAGTTTATTTTTCCCTTTTAATAGCTTCTTTAAATCTTTCTCCATACTTCTTTTTTTAAAATGGTATTTTTTATAGCATTTTATAAATGGTAGATAATCCCAAAGTGACGTACGTCTTCATGGACATTTAGGCAGTTCCACAATTCTATAGTAGACCTTGGTTTCTTTAATATGGAACAAGGGAAATTTAAACATTTATAACTGATAAGATAAATGTGTAGAACTCTCAGAGATGTGGCTACGTGGGAACATAAAAAACTAACCCAGTGGGCCCGGCAGATTATTAGAGGCCCATGCTGAGGAAACAGGGACACAAATTATACTTTCATGCTTTTCCATATCACCTAAGTTATGGAATAATAAATAAATTGAAAAGCAAATTGATGAGGGTGATTCCAAGGACCCACACTAGCTTATGGGGTTTTGTTGTTCTGTGTTTTGGACACTTTTTTTTTTTTTTAAGGCTAGGAGATGAATCAACTGAAATAAAGAGGGAGGTGGAAATGTGAGGGGCTAATGAAGGTTTGAGAGTCTGGGATAAAGTATGTAGGGTAACTTAAGCATCTTGACTTGAGACCAGAACTTCTGAATCAACAAAAGAGTGCTGGCAGGTCTCCCTTTCTTTTCATTGACACAGGGAAGTTTCCATCGTTGCCTACCAGAAATAGTATATATTAATCAAATACAATGACATGAGTCATACACTAGAAATACTGCAGAAATTAATATTATATTAACTTTTAATGAATGATAAGGCTTTCCAAGGTAGTGGTTATATATGTGGTACTTCTGCTAAAAGTCAGAGAATGACATAACAGACCGCAGACAATATGGAACCACCAGTAAATGGACACTCTCCACCCTCCCCAAAAATGAAAAGAAAAAAAAAAAATCAACAATAAGAATGTATCTATACAGTTACTTCAAATTATTTAAATATTTAATATATTAATCAGAGTTAACAAGGTAGATTCTTAAAAATCTGTGCCAGAATCATAGTATTGTTTCATTTGTTTTAAATGAGGCAATCTAAAGATTTATAAAAGAAACAAAATGTGCTTATTAAGCGCATGGTATTTTTACATGGAGACAGAAAATTTGCCTATATAAAGGAGACATAACCAAATATATATTGCATCTAAGTGATATATTGTCCTTACTGTGGGCTAGGCTCTGTCCTCCAAGATTACATATATTAGCTAATTTAATTTTCACAACAACCTTATAAACGTGCAACTATTATTATCTCCATTACAGAGATGAGGGAACTCAGCCCTACACGGTTAAGTCACCGTAAGTACTGTGGGAAATGAGATCTGAAACTAGTCCATGAGGCTCTACAAGCCAAGCACTTGACTGCCATGCCAAAGAACTGGCTAAGCCAGAAAAAGTAAAGCAATAATCCACATCTGGCTCCTTATCTCCTGTGCTCTCCATCAAGAAAGCAGAAGTGCTGTATCTCAAATCTTGGATCTGTGAATAATCACATCGATTTTCCACCTCATTTCTTGTGTGTGTACATGATCTCAAACACAACTGCTTTCATTTCTATTCCTTCTGTCCATATCAATCCATTAACATGTGCCTCTTCAAAAACCAAAGAATAAAATGAACTTGTCCTATACCAGCTAAACAAAATTTGAATGACTCAGTCACACATTCAACACTTTTGAATTAAATTCTTCTAACGTGTTTTCACTTTCGAAATATGACAAGAAGAAGGTCAAGCGATCCAAATCTTCCTTCCCCTTCCCTGGCACCTCTACATTGAGAACACTTAATGGTTACTTTTTTATGTTACATCTTGCCAGTGAGTTCAATTTAGATGAAAGCTGTTGTTTTCTAATTCCGTTTCACTATAAATGACAGAGACAAATGGTCATATTACCTCGAGAGTTCCTTTGGCAGAATAGGCTGCATATGAGTAAAGCAGATCTTGGCTGCTGTGTTTTCTGGCTTCTTCGCTGCAAGGCTGGCCATTAGGATGAAAGCATTGGCCACTGCTGCTCAGAGACACAGAGCTGGCAGAAGGGCCTGGCAGATTAAGCAACACAGAGTAATTTACAAACTGTACATCTTCTAGGCCCAGGGAAGTCCAGTGACTCTTAATCTTCTTTGAAATTTCTGTGTCATCTTCACTTTTATACAGTTGTACCAAATTTCTGAAAGAAATTTAAAAATCACACTCTAAATAAAGGAAAAAAATTATCTCTTGAGTTATGACCATTTAATATATGAACAATTATTAACAGATGTAGGATATGAAAGATGAACTAGACAGGACACTATACAAGAAACTCACAGTCTGGTAAAGGTGATGAGCTTGCAGAGAAATTACACTAAATCAAAGCAGAATGAATTAAGTTCTTAAATTAAGAACAAATAAAGCACTGTGGGAATCCAAAGAAAAAGGTGATTAATGCCAACTAGTTCTTTTATTAGTTCCGATCTTTCTGTGGACATCAACATATAATCCATTTACAACTCAGTTCCAAGACTAGGAGTCATGCTGGTGAAGACAGTTTTGTATTGCAATTAATATGATTCCATATAGAGTTATGTGAATAATATATAGCTATTGCTATTTAAAATGATCTGGAGAGTGTTGGAGTTATTACTGAGGATGCCTGGCTAGCTAAAATGCAACAGGGAGATTTCTGGTGGGCTGAAGTCCCACTTGGGAGGGGCCTGTGTCTCTTGGAATGCAGGAGGCCTGTGTAAACCACCCAGACTGGGGAATGCTCCTGGGCCTGCCCTCCCAGGCCTTTCTGCAGTCCCAGGGGAACTCCATTATCTATACATTGTATACAAAGTTTAGCAAAACAATAGGACACATAGACCTTTGCTGTATATCTCTGATTTGATTATTCTCTTGTGATTGTCATGTACCCTTTGTTTTTGCATGCCTGAAATGTATGCCCTCTGTACACAACAAGTCAACTGAGATTTGTGACTGGTCTGACACTGCAATAAATGAGAATAAGCTTGAGGCTAACGGGGTTCTTCCTCTGTGAGCATTGACTCCCATTCCTTTTCTCTTTCTTAGCAAAGGGTAATCTTTCATGGGTTGGCACAGGGTTTGTTGGTCATTCCAAGCAAGAGAGAACACTTTTGATACAAATTACGTGCCAAATTACCTAATACTGTGAGCGCAATGATATGCAATAAAATTGGTATATCATGCTAAAACCAACCACAGATTATCAAATCAATATGAAATTAATTTTTGCGTGTGCTTGCTGTAGTCTATATATTTATTCCTTATCTATTCTGTAATCCAATGACACTATTTTTCCTTATGACATCTTAAAAGCCAGACAAAATCTGTAAAAATAGACACACACATGCACGTGCAAACACACGTACACACACGTATGAGCAGAACCTAGAACAAAATCAGAAATGGGAAATTTAAAAATAATAATACAATAAAGTTTTGTTTAGGACTGGGATACAAAGGGACCAGTTTATTTTTTGACAAAAATATATCTTCTTATAAGAATTTTATTGCTATCCAAAACATTACTTAAACGGATACTACTTAAGTGGATACTGTTTTATTTTTTCCCATCACATTATTTTTCTCACACATATTTGATTCTTTTAGGACTCTATTTATTCAATAATCCCCAAATGAAAGACATCTGAAAAAGGAATAAAAAATACACACATCAGAAAAAAAATACATATAATATAGAAAAGCATTACTAGAGACAAAAAAGTAGGTGTGCTGACATAGCTAAAAGGCAGCCTATACATGAAGATGAAATAATAAATAATTTCCCAATTGCTTTCTAAGGTTATTTCTATTTTTTCTTTTTTTTTTTTTTTTTTTTTTTTTTTTTTTTTATTTTTTTTCAACGTTTTATTTTTTTATTTTTGGGACAGAGAGAGACAGAGCATGAACGGGGGAGGGGCAGAGAGAGAGGGAGACACAGAATCAGAAACAGGCTCCAGGCTCTGAGCCATCAGCCCAGAGCCTGACGCGGGGCTCAAACTCCCGGACCGCGAGATCGTGACCTGGCTGAAGTCGGACGCTTAACCGACTGCGCCACCCAGGCGCCCTTCTATTTTTTCTTAATATGCAGTTTGACCAATTATCAATGCCATGTAAATTTTATGAAAGAGTCGATTAAAAGAATTTCACTTTTTCTTCTGAAAAAGATTGGTGGGCCTTCTGTTTTGTGTGTGTGTGTGTGTGTGTGTGTGTGTGTGTGTGTGTGTGTGTTTCGCCGGGGAGGTTTTTGTATAGTTGGCAAATTAGATTGTATATATTTAAAGTGTACAATATGATTTGATATACATGTATGTTATGAAATTATCACAAATTACCACATCCATCACCTCAATATTTACCTTATGTCTGTATGTGTTGTATGTTGAAATTTTTAAAATTTCTTTTATGTTTATTTATTTTTGAGAGAGAAAGAAAGAAGGAGTGGCAGAGAGAGAGGGAGACAGGATCTGAAGCAGGCTTTGTGCTGATAGCAGAGAGCCCGACGTGGGTCTCAAACTGAGGAACCATAAGATCATGACCTGAGTCGAAGTCAGACACTCAACCCAACCAACTGATCCACCCAGGCACTTCTGTGTGTTGAAATATTTAGGATGTCCTCTCTTAGCAAATTTGAAGTACATAATGCAGTATTAACAATACTCACCATGCTGTACAGTAGGTCCTCAGAAATTATGCATCTTATAACTGAAAGCTTGTATCCCCTTGACCAACACGTCTTCCTTTCCGCCACCCCCAGTGCCCTGGCAGCTATGATTATACTCTTACTATGAGTTTGTTTGTTGGCTTTTTAGATTACATACATAAAAGATATGACTCAGCATCTGCATTTCTCAGTCTCTGTCTTATTGCACTTACCCTCTGTGAGGTATCTCTGTTGTCACAAAGCCATGATCTCATTTTTTATGGTTGAATGATATTCTACTGTACATTGATCCTGCATTTTCTTTATACATTCATCCATACATGAACACTTAGGTTATTTTTGTACTTTGGCTATTGTAAATAATGCTGCAATGAACATGAGTGCAAATATCTCTTCTAGATGCTGATATCATTTCCTTTGGATATATACCCAGAAGTGGATTGCTGGATCATATGGTTTTCTAGTTTTAATTTTTTGAGGAAACTCCATACTGTTTTCCATAATGTCTGTACCAGTTTACATTCTCACCAATAGTGTACAAAGGTTATATTTTCTTCACATCTTCATCAGTATGTTTTTTTGTTTTGTTTTGTTTTGTTTATAACAGACATTCTAATAGATGTATGGTGGTATCTCATTGAGGTTTTGTTTTGTATCCCCTGATGATTAATGATGTTGAGCACCTTCATGTATCTGTTGGTCATTTGTATATATTTTTTGGAAAAATGTCTATTCAGATCCTTTGTCCATTTTTAAATTGGACTGTTTGTGATTTTTTGCTACTGAATTGTATAAATTCCTCATTGTCATTCACTTTATTTTTATTTTTTTTAATGTTTATTTATTTTTGAGAGAGAGAGAGTGCAAGCAGGGGAGGGGCAGAGAAAGAGGGAAACACAGAATCTGAAGCAAGCTCCAGGCTCTGAGCTGTCAGCACAAGGCCGGACACAGGGCTCAAACTCATGAGCTGCAAGATCATTATCTGAGCGGAAGTCGGATGCCTAACGGACTGAGCCACCCAGGCACCCACTGTCATTTACTTCATATCATGCATAGGAAAGGCTGCTGGGGGAGATGGCTCCACCAAGAGTCAGACTGATGTTCAGCCAAGACTGCACTAAGTCCTGTACCCCAAGGTAAGGCAAAAATTAATTACTGGTCAGGATCTGTGATAAAGGTTTTTTACCAGGGGTGGGGATAAATAAAATATGAACCCCTTATCAAATATATGTTGTGTAAATATTTTCTCTCATTCCACAGGCTTTTCTCATTTTGTTGTTTCCTTTGCTTTGCAGAAGCTTTTTAGTTTGATGTAGTCTCACTTGTTTAGTTTTGCTTTGTTGCCTATGCTTTTGTTGTCATATCAAAAAAAAGTTGCTAGGACCGACGTCAAGAAATATTCCCTTTGTTTGTTTTCTTCTGGGAGTATTGCAGTTTCAATTTTATATTTAAGATTTCAATCTGTTTCAAATTAATTTTTGTGAATGGTGAGATATAGGGGTTCAATTTAATTCTTTTGCATCTGAATTCCAGTTTTTCAACACTGTTTATTGAAGAAACTATTCTTTCCCCATTTTCTATCCTGGCTTCTTTGTCAAAAATTAATTGACATATATGTATGGATTTATTTCTGGGGACTCTATCCTGTTGCATTGGTCTATTTTTGGTCATTGGATCTGTTTCATTTGTCAGTTTTTTCAAAGTTTATGTATTTATTTTTGAGAGAGTGCACGTGCACCCACGAGTGGGATAGGGGTGAAGAGAGGGAGAAAGAGGATCCCAGGCAGGCTCAGCACTGTCACTGTGGAGCTGGATACGGGGCTGGAACTCACAAACAGTGAGATCATGACCTGAGCCCAAATCAAGAGTCAGATGCTTTAACAGATGGAGCCAACCAGGTGCCCATTGGTCATTGCTGATAAACAGATCACTTTTTATGATCAGCCTTTAGGCCATACTGTAATATTTTGATTATTATAGATTTAAAATTTTTTCTTTCAACGTTTATTTATTTATTTTTTTGGGGACAGAGAAAGACAGAGCATGAACAGGGGAGGAGCAGAGAGAGAGGGAGACACAGAATCGGAAACAGGCTCCAGGCTCTGAGCCATCAGCCCAGAGCCTGACGCGGGGCTCGAACTCACGGACCACGAGATCGTGACCTCGCTGAAGTCGGACACTTAACCGACTGCGCCACCCAGGCGCCCCTGATTATTATAGATTTAAATCAAGAAATGTGATGTGTCTGGATTTGTTCTTTCTCAAGATAGCTTTGGCTACTCAGGGGCGTTTATGGTTCCATGTAAGTTTTAGGGTTGTTCTTTTTCTGTGGAAAATGCCACTGGAATTTTGATAGGGATTGCAATGAATCTGTAGATTACTTTGGGTAGTATGTTCATTTTAACAATATTAATTCTTCTAATCTAAGAACATGAGATACTCTTCCATTTTATTTGTGTCTTTTTTACATTTTTTTCACCAATGTCTTATAGTTTTCAGTA